AACCATGAGATGTCCACATGTTCCTCTGTGAAAAAATGTATTTGAGAGATGAGTACTTAGTGCCCTCAATGAGTCAGGCTTGACTGGGACAGTGTGGTCCTTGTGCAGAGGTTCAGTGGCCTTTTTGGGGGACCCAGCAGGTAAACAGCGTGCCTATGTCTGGGGCCTTTTGGGGTTGTGGTCAGTAGGTTCTCTCCAGTTGGAGCACCACTGGAATGTTCTTAAGCCAAACCTATACACAGCCCCAATTCCTTGAGCTGGAAAGAAATGGATCCCATGGTTACCTTTGTTACTGTGGATTCTATAACTTTGAGGGCCATTGAGTAATGCTGGCAGGTGTGACTCCAGGCAGATAGAAACAAGGAGAAAGAGAGTCGGAAATGGAGTGACCAAGGTAGTGTACATTTGTCGTGTTTGGTCACCCACCATTTTCAGATTCTTCTTTTTGTGAAGAACCTCCTCCTCCATCATTGTGTGGGTCTTGGCAAAATACAAGCTGGGCCTCCCACTGGGGAAGCTTGTTGCACAGGTGTGTGACCAAGACTTGACCAAGTGGATGCTTCTAACCAGGGCCTTGATCTAGAGGTGATGAAGCACAGATGAAAAGACAGAGATTCTTTTGGCAGCAGCAATGGGGTCAAGAGACCAGCAGCCACCATGGCAGGAGGGCTCTATAGTGGCTGTGTCTGCCCTAGAGGTCTCTTTTTTTTTTTCCTGTTTAGACCTTGGCTGTGTTATTCTTTTCTCAACAGTCTTTGGTCACTGCCTTTTTTTTTCTTTTATCTGTAAGACTTGTTGCCTAATTGTTTCTTAAGTCTATGAGCTACTCAATAATCTTCTCATACATTCCTTTTATGTCCAAATCAGCCTTAGTCTGCATGGTCACCTATCAGCACATTCGAATTGATTTGCTACCCAGAGGAGCCTTGGAGACTGCTACTTAACTTTATTAATTTATTAAATGTGTAAAAATATTTTTTAAATATATTTTTTTGTTAATCCTCATCCAAGGATATTTTTTCCATTAATTTTTAGAGAGAGAGTGCAAGGTAAGGTGAGAGACAGAGAAAGAGAAATGTCAGTGTGGGAGAAACACATCAATTGGTTGCCTTTCACAGTTGCCCCGACTGGGGCTGGGGATTGCAACTGAGATACATGCCCTTGACCAGAATCAAACCTGAGACCCTTCAGTCTGAGGGCTGATGCTCTAACCACTGAGAAAAATGGGTTAGAGCTATTAATTACTTTTTTTTTGCATGAAAAATAGTATCATGGTGGTGTATACCACTTGAAAAAATACAGAAGTATTTACCTCTGATCACAATAAACAGTACAACAATTATTACCATCTTCCCCTTTTCCATTAGTCTTTCTCTGTAGCAGCAGCTTTTCGTGTTTCCATTTTGGTCATGTAGCTTTGTCCCCTGCCTTTCCCACACTGGTTTAAATTGTCGCAAGCGCCTGTGGGCCTTTCTAGTGACTGTAGTACATGATCCCTGCTGTGGATGCAGCATCCTGTGTTCGCCACTCTCTTCTGGTTTCAGCGTTGGGGTTGCTTCACCTTTTCACTATGATAAATAGTCCTGCAATGCACATGTTTCTGCAGAGAACTTTTCTATTTCCCTGAGCTACTACCTTGGATTGATAAGTCCCAAGGAATGAGAACAGGATGTGAGCAATTCTATGACTTGCCAGGTTTTGCCAAATTGCTTCTCCATGAAGTGGTGCACTTTGCATTGCTTTGGTGACACTAAGTGGATGTTACCTCGTCCTCCACAAACTGAAATATTCTCACTTGTTACTTGGGTGAACTGAAGCCCCTGGAGGGAAGTGCTTTTCGGAAGGTCACGAGTCACCTACAGCCTTTGGGTGAGATCCCTGCTCTCAGGGCACAGTTTGTGGCACTACAGACACTCTGTGCCTGAATTCTGTTTCATTTAAAAAAATTATTATTATGATGATGATCATTATTATTGTGTGTGTGTGTGTGTGTGTGTGTCCACGCGCGCGTGTGCCTGAATTCTGGAAGGTGCTGTGTGTGCATCCAACTTGCCTTCTTGCTAGGGTGACCCATTGTCCTGGTTATCTCACACCTCCCCACCACTGCTTTACTTCTGAGTCTTCCCTAGTTACCCTTCCCTAGTGACCCTGTCTACCAAGCCAGGTGCCTCTGGACCCTGGAGTCTCTCCCATTGGGACTGGCCTCCTGTGCCCGTGCTCTCCTACTGGGCAGCTTGAATTATTTACTTAATCTTGTGGTCTCAACAAATGAGCCTTCTCTGGGTCTGGGCAGTTTTTTGCTGTTTTAGTTTTCTCATTCTATTTTTCTGTTTCTACTATATATATTTTTTGACTGAGGATCCTAATATTTTAGTGTGTGTACTTAAAGTCTAAAATATACCAATGCTTGTACCTGGAGGTGATACTGAATGGATTTAACTACTGGAAGTGTGCTATAATCTTATATAATAAAAGGCTAATATGCAAATTGTCCCCTTGGGAGTTCGACTGGGAGACCAGGAGTTTGATCACTCGCTATGATTAGCATTGACCACAAGGGGATGGCGCGGAACATGATGGGCAACCTGCGGTGGCGGTGGGGCTCTGAGGGATCGAGGGAAAGAGGTGGGGAAGTGAGGAGGTGGGGAGGCGGGGAACCGAATCGACACTGATCACTGACCAGGCCTAGGGACCTACCCATGCAAATTTTCATGCACCGGGCCTCTAGTTTAATATGTCAATCTATACAGATATGCATTGCTGAACTATGGGGATATGGTCTGAGAAATGCATCTTTCAGCAATTTGATCATTGTGTGAACATTATAGAGTCCATGTACACAAACCTAGATGGTGTAGCCTACTAAACATCTAAGCTATATGGGCTACCATCATCTTATATGTTTTCTGTCATTAACCAAACCATTGATATGTGATACATGACTGCAAATGAAACATTAAAATTATATCTCCCTTTATTATCTAAATGAACTATGCATATCATAAAAGTACTTATAACTGATATAGCTGTAACATGACTTGTTTATTAAATCATGTATATATATAAAAGCCTAAATGACCGAACGAGTGTACAACTGGGCACTATGATGTGCACTGACCACCACGGGGCAGACGCTCAATGCAGGAGCTGCCCCCTCGTGGTCAGTGTGCTCCCACAGCCAACCTCCTGTGGCCCCTCCCCCTGGTTGGCCCGATCAGCCCTGGACCCCAATTAGGGCGGGAGACAACCCTGATTGGCCCCGATCGCCAGCCAGGCTGAGGGACTCCACCTGTGCATGAAATCATGCACCAGGCCTCTAGTTCTATCATAATTAAAATTCCTGTCTGAATCATGATTTGACATGGGGAACTGAATCAGGTTCTTCCAACTTTCACATTAAATTGATAGACATTAGTTCTGTGGCAGCCAACGTTGTCTGGGGTGCATTTGATGCCACTCATGGCCTGGACTGGAAAGCCTGTGTTGCCTCAGCCTGCACATGTGCAGGCCCATTACTTGACTCTGTGGCCAACACTGGCTGACATTGTCAGGTCACTTGTGGTCTCAAAAAGTGGAGAATTTCTCTTTCCTGATCAGGATGGAAATATTTTAGCATTTTAACCCAGAAGGCAGTTCTAATGCAGCCTTCATCCTCTTTGTGAATTACACACTAAGACGTTCGTATTCTTTAGCACTCTACCTGCTATTTCTGTTCACATTTTAGTTTGCTCTCTCTCTTTTAAATCCCCACACATTAGACATTATTACTGTTGCTTTATCCAGTCATTGGTTTGTTAGATTTACCTAGTTGGGTGTCAGTATCTTTGCTGGTTATTTCATCTTGTACTGCACACCTTATGTATGGGATCATTTCTCTGTTGCCTGAGTTACATCCTTTAGAATTTCCTTCAGTAAGTATTTCTGGAAAGATATCTTGGTTTTAGTTTGTTTTAAAATGTCTATTTCACCTACTTCTTAAACAATAACTTTTCTGTGACTGTAATTCTTGATCAACAGTCATTTGCTTAATCCAGTGGTTCTCAACCTTCCTAATGCCCTGACCCTTTAATACAGTTCCTCATGCTGTGATGACTCCCAACCATAAAATTATTTTCGTTGCTACTTCATAACTGTAATTTTACTACTGTTATGAATCATAATGTAAATATCTGATATGCAGGATGTATTTAAGCGACCCCTGTGAAAGGGTCATTCAACCCCCAAAGGGGTCGCAACCCACAGGTTGAGAACCGCTGGCTTAATCCTTTGAGGTTTTTATTTCATTGTCTTCTGCCTTCCATTGTAGCTGTTCAAAATCAGTTGTCATCCTAATGGGAGTACCTTGCTCCATAATCTTTCTGGCTGCTGTTAAAACCTGCCCTTAGATGTCTGCATTCTGTAGATTCACTTCAATGGGTCTGGTGCTGATTTCTCTCTGTTCCTCTCTCCTGCTTTGAATTTTTGGGATTTCTCCTTAGAAATCACATCTTTCAGCAATTATAGGAATTTCTTTGAAATTTTCTTTGAATATTACTTTTTCCATTCTCTCTATAATATCCTTCTAGAATTCTGACTATATGTATATTCGGCCTCTTTGTATCTTCCATGTCACTTAATCTTTTCTTATTTATGCTTCATCATATTTTCTGACAATTTAGATTATTTTCAAACTTGATTTATCATTTTTAGTGTGTAAGAGACAGTGAGGGTCCAGGAAAGGCCTGACCCCACTCCAAGTCATGTAAAGGACATGAACGTGGCTTACACCCCAGTTCTTGTGATCTAGGCAAGCAGACATTTGTCATAGCAACTGATTGTCATAGTAACTGTCAAACATAGATGGATCTAGACAAAGCTTGCCCAGTCTTGCCCAGCCTGTAACGATCTGCTACTTTCCTATAATAGGCCAAGCCCTAGTAGTGATTTATGAAGCATGACTAGCTACAGCTTAGCTATAAAACAGTGTGTGTAAAAAATAAAGTTGCTGGTGCATTGTGCCAGTCCTCCTAAGCCCGGTCTCTTGTATTTCATCCCACGCCACCTCTATCCTGCGGGACCCTTGGGAGCGGGCCTCCACAATTGGCGCCTGGAACAGGGACTGAAGGTGGGCTTCGTGAGGACCCCGGAGTCACAGTCGGCCGAGTCAATCAATCAATCAATCAATCAATCAAGTAATAAGTAAGTTTTGGGGCAATCAACCAAGTAATAAGTCATTTTGTGTTAATTAGGAGTAAAACATGGGGCAATTAGAGACCAAAGAGTGCTCTCTGTATGCGCAGATGTTAAAGAACATGCTGCAGGCAAGAGGGGCTCCTGTAACAACTTCACAGCTAGAGAGTTTTTTAAATTTTATGCAGGAAGTCTACCCGTGGTTCCCTGAGGAAGGAACCGTTAACTTAGAAACGTGGCAGAAAATTGGAAAACAAATGCTCAATCATTATAAAGCCCTTGGGCCAAGTAAGACCTCGGTTGATGCATTTTCCTTATGGAATTTAATACAGGATTGTTTAGATCCCAGGCATGACCATAATCAACCATCTCTTAAGCCAGAAAAGAAGAAGAGAAATATTAAAAATTGCATAAGGAAGGAAGCACCTGCTCTTAATAATCTAAGAAATACTAGCTGTAAAGGATTGAAGTTTCTAAGAATAAGGAATTATAAGAAGAAGAAGAGAAATATTAAAAGGAAATTAATCAAATAGTACAGGCCAGTAAGCCAAATGTAATAATTAATATCTCTTAATAATTATAAAAATATATAATCTTTAAATCATATATACACATATATATTTAATAGTCTTTCAAGTTAGATTTCAAAACTATAACCAAGGAATAACTTTGGGACATTTCATGGGCCCTGAAATGTTTTCAAAAGTTTATTCTCTCTTCTTAAAGAATTTTTTAATAAAGCCAATTTAATATACTTAAAATCACATAAAAAGCTTTATTAAATAAAAAATTAATAAATATATATTTTAAGTTTTTGCCTCTAATAAAGGGCAACACAAGTTATTTTATTTAAAATTTCTTAAAATACAGCAATAGAATTTTAAGCTATAATTTAAAATAACAAAAGTGCCTCGCTACTACATTTTAAATTAGGCTAGAGATAGGCAGTATTTACACCTCGTAAATCAGACATAAAACTTTACTAAATTTACTAACTTTATTAATAAAGATGCCTACCATAAGAAGCCAGTATCTTTATAAGCAATTAAATCCTAGTAAAGTAAATTCTTCACTCATATTACTGGAATCCCTTATAATCCCCAAGGACAAAGCATAGTTAAAAGGGCACATCGTTCCCTAAAAAATCAGATCCAAAAAACACAAAGAAGGGGGAGCTAGGGGGTCCGTACTCTCCTCACCAAATATTACAACATTCACTATTTACTTTAAATTTTTTGAATCTGGACGCGCAGGGTTTGTCTGCTGCAGATCGACAATGGACCATCGGGCTGTCTTAGTAAGATGGAAAGATCCTAACACTATAGAGTTGCTAACTTGGGGAAGAGGGTATGCTTGTGTTTAAGTTCCAGATGCAGACCCCAATGACCAAGTTTTCGATCGGATCTCTGAGGAAGAGGCAGGACACGCTCCAGCGGAGGCGTCATTGGCAGACCCTTCAGACGGAGATGGCCCCTCCTCACCTGGGGCTCTTTGAAGAGGCTGGATGCGGAAGCCCAAGCATTCACTCGGAACTCTTCCTAGGGATTGATTTTGGCTTTGATCGCCTTGACTGGACTTTTGCCAGTGACTTTGGCTGAGGTTCACTGGACTCATATGATTAATCCACCAACCTTCACTCTGCAGACTTGGACTAATCCTGAATTCCTTTAACTACCAACGACTCGGACTATACTCAAGGGACTTGGGTGAGGCCTAATGGACATTTGGGGCACTCTCATTTTCAAGCATTGTTTAACCAAACCGTCACCGGGAATGTACCCACTGTTCCTCTGTATATTCCTTAATAGCTTTTATTATGTCTACTATGGTAATTATCTCTTCTGCTATGACATCAGGATTTGCTTTAAAAACCTCTATCCTTACAGCCCAACAAGTAGATAGTAGGTTACACAACTTGACCTCTAACTAGGAAACGGGGCAAGTTTATATTAGTAGCTAGAGCAATGGGGCAAAGTTGATTAATAAGTACCTTAGTAATGGGGCATTATTGATTAATTATAGTTTTATATAATTCACTTATGTTTTAGTAACTGCACTTAGCAACAATGATTGATTGTATAACTTTGAAATTGCATGAGGAAAATCAGGCTATGAGTGCAAAGGGACCTGAGCTTCCGCCTACAGAGGTAGCAACTAAGATTTTTAATGAGATTGAAAGTTAGTTTTCTTCTACCCGGTGGACTTCGTTATTAGGTTCTGGGATTATGATACTTATATGCATAACCATTCTGCTTTGTCTACTTCCAGTCTACATCCAAGCCATTGGAGGAATCCTCCTATCCTTGCAAACCGCTGTACAGGAACTGCGCCTAAAGCACAAAGAAGGGGGAGATGTAAGAGACAGTGAGGGTCCAGGAAAGGCCTGACCCCACTCCAAGTCATGTAAAGGACATGAACTTGGCTTACACCCCAGTTCTTGTGATCTAGGCAAGCAGACATTTGTCATAGCAACTGATTGTCATAGTAACTGTCAAACATAGATGGATCTAGACAAAGCTTGCCCAGTCTTGCCCAGCCTGTAACGATCTGCTACTTCCCTATAACAGGCCAAGCCCTAGTAGTGATTTATGAAGCATGACTAGCTACAGCTTAGCTATAAAACAGTGTGTGCAAAAAATAAAGTTGCTGGTGCATTGTGCCAGTCCTCCTAAGCCCGGTCTTTTGTATTTCATCCCATGCCACCTCTATCCTGCGGGACCCTTGGGAGCGGGCCTCCACATTAGTGGTTTATTGTTTCTTGCTCATATTTTAATGACTATTCATGAAGCATAAGAAACATACTTAGTTTGCATTCTCCTTTTGATAACTTAAATGTCTGAGGGTTTTTTGTTTGTTTGTTTTTTAAATATGGACCGCTTTACAAATTGTTGTGTCATCCTTACGCAGGGGCCTTGCTAATCTTCTCTGTATCATTTCAATTTTAGTATATGTGCTGCTGGAGTGAGCACTGTCTGAGGTCTCCATGGGACTGATATCTGGTTGAGGTTTCTGTTGGTTTTCAGTGCTTCTGAGGTTTTGACTGTGAACTTTATAATTTTTGGAACTTTTCTGTGGGAAGTCTTTGGAGGTGAGAGAGGTTCGGATAACCATGTAACTCTGTGACTATGTCTCTTACTGAAATGCCCTTCTTTTGTGGCTTGAACTCTCATATTGAGTCTGGTGACACGGTTTCTCCTCCCTGCCTGTGGCAGTAGCAATGACTTCCCTTTTGTTGTTAATTTTTAGGTGCCCAACCTTACTAGTTCGTTCACTTAACCTTACTTTGCAAATGGTCTTGTCTTTGAAAAGTCTCATTAAAAATCTCAAATGAATATATCATATACTTTCTGCTGGGACCCTAAATTATACAATCTATGTGAAGAGAACTTAACAAATGATAGCTATTATTGTTATTGAGGAGAACCCTTCCTTCCTCCCTCCCCCCCCTCCCCCCCTCCCTCCCTCCCTCCCTCCCTCCCTCCCTCCTTTCTTTCTTTCTTTCTTTCTTTCTTTCTTTCTTTCTTTCTTTCTTTCTTTCTTTCTTTCTTTTCTGTTAATCCTCACCTGAGGATATTTTTTCATTGATTTTCAGAGAGAGTGGAAGAGAGGGGAAGAGAGAAAGAGAGAATGAGAGAGAGAAACATTGATATGAGAGCATTGATGTCTCACATTGATTGGTTGTCTCCCGCACGTTACCCAAACAGGGCCACGGATTGAGCCTTAAACCAAGGCATGCTCTCTTGACCTGAATCAAATCCAGGACCCTTCAGTCCACAGACCGATGTTCTATCCACTGAGTCAATCTGGTGAGGGTGAGGAAACCACTTTCTATTGAGGGAAACTTTCCAGTAATTCAGGCAAAAATAATTATGATGCTTGGGGACACAATGTTTCAAAACAGATATGCCCAGAGCACTGTGGAATGAGAAAGAAAGCTGCTGCCACTTCTACAACTTTCTCTCAGTCTGCCTAAGGAAGCCACAAACTCCCCTCAGGATATTGAAAGCCATTGGAAGCCATTTCGGACCCATTCTCACCACCATCACCTTCCCTCACACCTCCCTCTCACTCACCTTGGAGGGCTATAAAGTGAGGGAGGTACACAGCTGCCACAGCTCCTGGTTCAGCCTTGATGTCAAAAAGAGGCCCCGCAACCATCCAGCTGTGCTGTGGGACAATCTGGTCCAGGAACTGGTCCCAAGCACAGAATTCAATCTCAATGGTCACTGGCCCTCTCAGCACAAAGTAGAGACCCATGTTGGGACAGTGGTAGGAACCAGCCACAGGGAAGTGAACTCTGGGGATAGCAGAGAGAGAAACATTGATTTAATTACTCTACACAAGCTCACGGACTATCTACTGGATGCCCGACCCCATGCAGTGCACTGTGTATCTAGTA